CCCGCGGGCGGCCGCAGGGGCGGGCGAGGGTCGGCGCCTCCGGGAGGGGCAGCCCCGGGCCGCGTCCGCTCGCGCCGACTCGGGCCGCCAACTGGCGGTCCAACAGGTGCTGGCACAGACAGGGGGTGCTGCGGGGCTCGCTGCAGACAGGACCTAAACCGCCCAGGCGAGGAATGCAGCCGGAGCGGCCCCTGGTTTCCTTCCCCCGGGACACCCCTAGCCCCAAATAAAGAGCAAGATGGGTGGCGAAGGGTACTGCAGACGCAAAACTGAGTGCAGAAGAACTTCCTGCAACTCTCCCTCGTCCCCCGCCCCCCGTGGTCGTGACTCGTCATTAATTTCCGAGGGGATCCCCGTAACCAAAGGCTTGGCCAGAGTTTCTGGACCGGAGGAAGAAGGGAAATTAGATTTCAAAGATTTCCCTTCAGTTGCCAGCTCTCTGAAGCGAGATGGAGAGAAGAAAAGTAAAGACAAACAGCCAGCACATTAACAGCAACATTCATTCATTTCGCAAACACTGTTATTTGTTGACCGCCTACTGTGTCAGGCACTGTTCTAGGAGCTGGGGCGGCGGTAGTGAAAACACAAGAAAGTTTCTGTTCTCCGGAAGCTTGCATACTAGTTGAACTTCATTAAATTAATATCAAGAGAGTCCCGTGGCAAGCAAATCATCACAAATGGCACCCTGCCTCTTGTTAAATTAAGTCCATGCAAACAATTTGGCCAGGTATGGTGTTCCACGGGGGGCTGGAAGAAAGGATATAGCCTTAAGGTATATGCTGAAATATGCGTGGAGTCTCAAATGGCTCTTTTTCAGGAGACCCTTTCTGGCCTTGCAAGGCCATCTACTGAGGGTGGAGGAGAGCTGCCCTTTAAAAGGATCCAGGGATGCTTGAGAAAGGCAGGTTCACAGATAGGACCAAACCAGGAGCTGACCTTCCTCAGTCATGCTGAAAAGGCCAAGCCCTCTGCCTGTATTTGGACACCCACTGAGACCCACCAACTTGACCTCTCTGCAATATCCTGGTCCTCTTTTTTTTTTTTTTTTGCTTCTTAAAATTCAAATAAGCTCAATTCCTCTTTACTCACCTATCCCATTCATTCATTCATTCATTCATTCATTCTTATTTCTTTACCACTTCTGTCTTCACAGTACAAGATATCGAGGCAAATATACAAGGCCCATTCTCTGACTTTAAAGAATTTACAGGTTAGCAGACACAAGGCTTGTTACTTTATGCACTTCAGCATCTCCCCAACATGACAGTGAATGCATATTTGCATGATAAATATGTTCCAAAACTACTTTGTAGATTTGGGGGGGAGGGGTGTTCCCAATTTTAATAACATAATGAGACTTGTTATATAAAAGACATGCTTTGGGGCACCTGGGTGGCTCAATCGGTTGGGCATCCGACTTCAGCTCAGGTCACGATCTCGCGGTCCCTGAGTTCGAGCCCCGCGTCGGGCTCTGGGCTGATGGCTCAGAGCCTGGAGCCTGTTTCCGATTCTGTGTCTCCCTCTCTCTCTGCCCCTCCCCTGTTCATGCTGTGTCTCTCTCTGTCTCAAAAATAAATGAACGTTAAAAAAAAAAAAAATTAAAAAAAAAAGACATGCTTTATGAGTGTGTTTTCATCTATTTGTAATAAAACTAATTACTAATTTGTAATTAAGCCTTCTAACTTTGTAAGTTAATTTTCTAATCAGGATTTTTCTAAATGAGGCTGTTAAATGTCCTTATAGTTGACATTTCTTGACCACCCACATAGAGTGTGTGTGTGTGTGTGTGTGTCTGTGTGTGTCTGTGTGTGTCTGTGTGTGTCTGCAGATTTAATCCATTTGCTCTCATGAGATTATAAGGGTGATGACTACTCTTTATTTTGTATCATTTCATATTGGCTAGAACAGTGCCTGGCTCAGGGGGATAATAAATAAACACTCTTGACTGACTGACAGTTTTCTTTATTGGAGTCACTTACATTCTCCCTGGAATTTCAGCATGAAGGTTGTATTTGAAAAGTTACAGATGATCTAGAATAATACTCCACCTCTGCGTTTCACCTCATCCATATTCTACAGATTGATTTGACAATCACCTTATAAATAAAGCCAGCCAGGTGCTCCTGCATGACCCCTAGACAAAATCACGTTCACATCAACTGGTTTCCTTTCAATGTACTTGCATTGTTGTTCCTTGTACTGCCCTTGCCCTTGGCATAGTTGATTCTTTTAACACTTTATCCTCTGCCTGTCTTCCTGCTCCATTTTGCTTATAAACCTTTCCTAGAAAAGTGGGGCCCTTGCATTGAAAGTCAATTTTATGTAATCCAGAGTCTGCACAATTACTGAACAATATATTTTGAATGAATATGGCTTTGTTTTGGCCTAAGGCATTTTCCTTGAGGAAAGGCATCCGTTCCGCCAACCAAGAGAAAATAATTGCAAACATTCTTTGTGGTTTTCATGTTTTCTTAAACCTTAGGAAGGAGTGCCCATTCAGGCTGAATGCATGAACACTGTTACCTGCAAATTCCTATTGAAGAACATGGTAGAATGTACTTGCTTATTAACAATAGTAATTTGGGGGAGGGAGAATGGGTGTCACTATTAATTTTTTTTTAAGTGAAATAAGATCTAAAGCAAATTACTCATGTAGCTAGTCATGTGACACCCAGGAGGGCAAGAACCATAGGGATATATTTTTGCCTCAGAAAATCAAATATTACAGGCTTTCTTGCTCTGTCTTCTTCTGATTTGATCCAAACACACACACACACACACACACACACACACACACACACACATAGGTATATATACAAAATTATTTTACAATTTTTCCCAGAACTCTAACTTTTCAGCATTTTAGTGGCATATAATTGAGCGTGAGTTTCTGAAGTTCGGAAATTTCTGATCTACCTAAATGCCCACTGTGTTTCCAGAATGACAAGCAACACTTACATCTGCATTTAAATGAGGCCTGGGGCTGGAGGTATTATTAGTAAGGAAGTAAATGCCCATAGATCATAGCAGAAATAAAGATTGTCATATGATTTTTTTTTTTTTCCTTTTAGAGAGAGAGAGAGAGAGAGTGCAGCAGAAGGGGAAAGGGGCAGAGAGAGAGAGAGAGAATCTTAAAAGCAGGCTCTATGCTCAGCACAAAGCCCGATGCAAGGCTTGATCCCATAACCCTGGGATTATGATCTGAGCCAAAATCAAGAGTTGGACGCTCAACTGCCTGAGCCACCCAGGTGCTCCAAGAGTGTTCTAGAAAACAATATATAGTAGTCTCTCCTAGAGTCACCCTTTTCTCTATTTTCTCCAACTACCCCCATCTTGAGAAATGCATGACTTTGCTCTAGATATCTAGGATATATTAATACTCTGTTTTTCTAACCTAAAAATTGTAAAACACACTATTGATTAAATTTTACTTTTAGATCAATCACCCTTTACCTGCCCGTGTAACAACTGTTAATCTGAGAAAGACCTGCTCACTGTGGCAAATGGTAGAGGGTTGAGCTAAGGCCCTGCACTTTTTGATTTTTACTTTTCTGGGGAAGGGAGTTGGGAGGTAGGAAATTAGAAGTATGTGGCCAAGGAAACGGGTGACAAGAACTGGCCTTTGGGTGACCCTCTGTGGCTTTTCCCATTGAAGTAAAGCTGCAGTTTCCTTTTTGAAACCATGGTTGAGTACGCAAAGATATTTTTCAAAATCTCAGAAGTGCTTGTCTGACACAGAATTCAGAGGGAGTACGTAGCCAGAAACAGCCCCAAAGAAAGGAGAGGCCTGGTGACCTTTGAACCACCACAACAGAAGATCATTTTACCGAGAGATGGGACAGCAGGGACTTAGTCTGGCTTTACCACTACCAGACGGTACAACCTCGATCTAGAAATCCTCTCTTTCCCTTTTCTTTACATAAGAAATTT